AGCAGGCTCCCCGACGAGCAAGGAGTCCGATGTGGGACTCGATCCCAGGACACTGGGATCATGACCCGAGCCGAAGGCAGCTGCTTAACCAACTGAGCCACCCAGGCATCCCAAAAGCTTTTGATCTTGATGAAGTCCCAGTAGTTCATTTTTGGCCTTGCTTCCCTTGCTGTGGGCGATGTTTCTAGGAAGGAGTTGCTGTGGCTGAGGTCGAAGAAGTTGCTACCTGTGTTCTCCTCAAGGATTTTGATGGATTCCTGTCTCATACTGAGGTCTTTCATCCATTTTGAGTCTATTTTTGTGTGTGGTGTAAGGAAATAGACCAGTTTCATTCTTCTGCATGGGTGTGTCCAATTTTCCCAACACCGTTTGTTGAAGAGATGGTCTTTTTTCCATTGGATATTCTTTCCTGCTTTGTGGAAGATTAGCTGACCAAAGAGTTGAGGGTCCAGTTCTGGATTCTATTCTGTTCCATTGATCTATGTGTCTCTTTTTGTGCTAGGACCATACTGTCTTGATGATGACAGCTTTGTAATAGAGCTTGAAGTCTGGAATTGTGATGCTGTCAGCTTTGGTTTTCTTTTTCAACATTGCTCTGGCTATGTGGGGTCTTTTCTGGTTCCATATAAATTTTAGGATTATTTGTTCCATTTCTGTGAAAAATGTTGATGGTATTTTGATAGGGATTGCCTTGAATGTATAGATTGCTCTAGGTAGCATAGACATTTTCACAATATTTATTCTTCCAATCCATGAACTTGGAATATTTTTCCATTTCTTTGTGTCTTTCTCAATTTCTTTCATAAATGTTCTGTAGTTTTCTGAGTACAGATTCTTTGCCTCTTTGGTTAGGTTCATTCCTAGTTATCTTATATTTTGGTGCAATTGTAAATGGATTGATTCCTTAATTTCTTTTCTGTCTCATTGTTAGTGTATAGAAATGCAACTGATTTCTGTGCATTTATTTTATATCCTGCCACTTTGCTGAATTCTTGTACAAGGTCTAGGAATTTTGGGGTGGAGTTTTTTAGGTTTTTCACATAAAGTATCATGTCATCTGTGAAGAGTGAGAGTTTGACTTCTTTGCTGATTCGGATGCCTTTTATTTCTTTTTGTTGTCTGATTGGTGAGGCTAGACTTTCTAGTACTCTGTCAAACAACAGTGGTGAGAATGAGCATCCCTGTCATGTTCTTAACCTTAGGGGAAAAGCTCTCAGTTTTTCACCACTGAGAATGATATTCGCTGTGGGCCTTTTGTATGTGAGTTTTTGTATATGGCTTTTATGATACTGAGTTATGTTCCCTGTATTCCTCCCTGTGGAGAGTTTTAATCAAGAAAGTATTCTGTATTTGGGCAAGTACTTTTTCACTGTTAATTGAGAGGATCATATAATTCTTGTCCTTTCTTTTATTAATGTGATGTATCATGTTGATTGATTTGCAGATGTTGAACCACGCTTGCAGCCTGGGAATAAATCCTACTTGGTAGTGGTGAATAATGTTTTAAATGTACTGTTAGATCCTATTAGCTAGTATCTTGGTGAGAATTTTGGCATCTATATTCATTAAGGATATTGTTCTATAATTCTCTTTTTGGTGGGGTCTTTATCTGGTTTTAGGATCAAGGTAATGCTGGCCTCATAGAATGAGTTTGGAAGTTTTCCTTCCATTTCTTTCTTTCTTTTTTTTTTTTTTTTAAGATTTTTATATATTTTTTTGAAAGAGATCACAAGCAGGCAGAGAGACAGGCAGAGAGAGAGAGGGGAAAGCAGGCTCCCTGCTGAGCAGAGAGCCCAATGCAGGGCTCGATCCCAGGACCCTGAGATCATGATCTGAGCCGAAGGCAGAGGCTTAACCCACTGAGCCACCCAGGCACCTCCCATTTCTATTTTTTGAAACAGCTTCAGAAGCATAGGTATTAGTTCTTTTTTAAAGTTTGATATAATTCCCCTGGGAAGCCATGTGGCCCTGGACTCTTGTTTGATGGGAGATTTTTGATTACTGTTTCAATTTTCTTGTTGGTTATGGGTTTGTTGAGCTTTTCTATTTCTTCCTGTTTCAGTTTTGGTAGCTTATAAATTTCTAGGAATACCTCCATTTCTCCCAGATTGCCTAATTTGTTGGCATATCATTGCTCATAGTATGATCTTAAAATTGTTTGTGTTTTCTTGGTGTTGGTTGTGATCTCTCCTCTTTCATTTACGATTTTATTTGTTTGGGTCCTTTCTCCTTTCTTTTTGATAAGTCTGGCCAGGGATTTATTGACCTTATTAATTCTTTCTAAGAACCAGCTCCTAGTTTTGTTGGTCTGTTCTACTGTTCTTTTAGTTTTTATTTCATTCATTTCTTTTTCCCCCCCAAGATTTTATTTCTTTATTTGAGAGAGAGAGAGAGGGCACAAGCAGGGGGAGTGGCAGGCAGAGGGAGAAGCATGTTCCCTGCTGAGCAAGGAGACTGATGTGGGACTCAATCCCAGGACCCTGGGATCATGACCTGAGCTGAATGCAGACACTTCACTGACTGAACTACCCAGGCATTCCTATTTCATTCATTTCTGCTCTAATCTTTATGATTTCTCTTCTCCTCCATGGTTTAGGCTCTATGTGTTGTTCTTTTTCTAGTATCTTTAAGTGTAAGATTCATTTGTATATTTAAGACTTTTCCAGTTTCTTGAGAAAGACTTGTATTGCTGTGTAGTTCCCTCTTAGGATCTCCTTTGCTCTATCCCAAAAGTTCTGAACAGTTGTGTTTTCCTTTTTATTTGTTTTCATGAATTTTTAAAATTCTTTAATTTCCTGATTGACCCATTCATTCTTTAGTGGGATGCTCTTTAATCTCCAAGGATTTGAGTTCCTTCTAAATTTCCTCGTGTGATTCAGTTCAAGTTTCAAAACACTGTGGTCTGAAAATATGAAGGGAATAATTCCAGTCTTTTGATACTGGTTGAGGCCTGATTTGTGACCTAATATGTGTTCTTTTTAAAAAAAATATTTTATTTATTTACTTGACAGTAAGATGGGGAGAGAGAGTGAGCACACGGCAGGGGGAGCAGCAGGCAGAGGAAGAGGGAGAAGCATACTTCCCCACCAAGCATGGAGCCCAATGTGGGGCTTGATCCCAGGGCCCTGGGAAATGACCTGAGCTGAAGGCAGACACTTAATCACTGAGCCACCTATGCGTCCCATTTTGGAGAATGTTCCATGTGGACTTGAGAAGAATGTGTAATTCTTTTGCTTTAGGATGGAATGCTTTGTATATATCTGTGAAATCCATCTGATCCAGTGTGTCATTCAAAGCCCTTGTTTCCTTCTGAGATTCTCTTAGATGATCTGTCCATTGCTGTGAGTGGAGTGTTGAAGTCTGCTACTATTATTATATTATTATCAATGTGTTTCTTTAATTTTGTTATTAATTGGTTGATAAAATTTGCTGCTCCTAAGGTAGGAGCATAAATATTTATAATTGTTAGATATTCTTGTTGGATAGACCCTTTAAGTATGATACAGCATCCCTCCTCATCCTTTACTATAGTATTTGGCTTAAAATCTAATTTGTCTGATAAGTAAGGATTGCTACCCCAGCTTTCTTTTGACATCCATTAGCATGATAAATTGTTCTCCACCCTCTCACTTTCAATCTGGAGGTGTCTTTTGGTCTAAAATGGGTCTCTTGTAGACAGCATATGAATGGCACTTGCTTTTTTATCCATTCTGATACCCTGTGTCTTTTGATTGGAGCATTCAGCACACTTATATTCAGAGTTACTATTGAGAGATATGAATATAGCACCATTGTATTACCTTTAAAGTCACTGTTTCTGTATATTGTCTCTGTTACTTTTTGGTATATGTTGCTTTTGGGCTCTCTCTTTCCTTACTGGATCCCCTTTAATATTTCTTGCAGGGCTTGTTTAATGATCACAAATTCTTTTAGTTTCTGTTTGTCCTGGAAGATTTTTGTCTCTTCTCCTATTCTGAATGATAGCCTTGCTGGATAAAGTATTCTTGGCTGCATGTTTTTCTCATTTAGTACCCTGAGTATATCATGCTAGCCCTTTCTGGCCTGCCAGGTCTCTGCACCAATCCTTCCTGGGGAAGGAGAGGGGAATCTCACCAAGTCTCTGCTGTTCCCTGGGCCCCTGCTCTGGGAGCAATTGCCCAAATCTGTGTGCACTCTTGCCACTCCTCCCAAGGAGGAAGGAGGGCCACTCCTCTTGCTGGGCCCTTGCTTGGAGAGGCAGTCCCTGATCTTGCCATGGTTCATGGTTTATGGCAACACCTAGCTGAAAGCCCACTCCAGGGCTTGCTAATTGTAACCAGCTTTCCTGCTCCAATGCCTGGGAACTCTACCACACTCTGGCATCCCCATTCATTCTGTGACCCTGGGGATTCTGAGACCACACTTCCCAGTTAGGATTGTGCTCCGCTTCACCACCTGAGCACCTTTCAGGCAGGGACATTCCTCACAGGAGCAGACTTCTAGAAGTTCCAATTTTTGCATTCCATTGCTATATCACTTTCCAGCAGCTAGCTTATGGAGGTTCCCTCCCACCATGGTTTTTTTCCGATACATCCCCTCAGATTCACTTTTCTGCACCTCCTACTTTGCAAAAAGTAGTCACTTCTCTATTTGTAGAGTTGTAGCAATTCTTTCCTTAGCTCTCAGGTTGAATTCACAGGTATTCAGAATGATTTGATAGATATCTAGCTGAATTCAAGGTCAAGGGACCAGATGAATTGGGGGTCCCCTACTCTTCTGCCATATTCCCTCTCCATCTATAATTTAAATATTTTTCATGTCCTCAGGCACACTGTGGTACATAGAGGAGAATTTGTTGTTATAGTAGATTTATTTGAATTTTTATGTATTGATGAAAAAAGGTGACATATGAGAGGAAACAATAATTTTACAAATAGATAGTTACGCTTTAATATTCAGAAAATATTTCCTTTCTTGGACACAAATCTAATTGTAATGGCAATCTCCTCTTCCTTCTTCAGTTTTGCAGACTCCAGCTGTTAGCAAACATGTATCTACCAAAGGTCCAGAAAAGCTAAAACAGCCTAGAAGCATTGACTGTTTTACAGGTAATTAAAATTGGGATAAACTGTTTTTCTAAAAACTTTTAAAGATAGTTTTCATGTTTCCCTTTTGATAAAATGTTTGTTTTCTGTTTCAGAATTGAGTGTAATGAATAAAATAAGGAAGAATAAGCTGTCCAAAGCAATATACTTGATGCAGAAAGCTCTTCTAATATCTGAGAAAGATGCAACCTCTACATCTTCACACAACCTTTTGATGGTAACAACATGCCATTCCTTTTTTTGGTCTTGACATATAACCTTTGTTAAATGAATGATTTAGTTCACTTTGTTAAAAATAATGTGTTGCCCTTAACATTAGATTATGAACTTTCAGGTTCCCTATATCTAGTCCTCTCTTTGAGTTGAACAGTTTTGAATAGGGAAACTAATCTATATTACCCATCCCGAACTCTACTGAAATGAGAGATCCTCTCTCTGTATTCTCTCTCTGTAGGGGCAACTTACATAGGAAGCCAAATAAAATCAGAAGGATTAAAAATGAGGGAAACTATAGAACTTAAGAGACACTATGCTAGCATAATGATTCCTTACTATGGAATTAAAATACTTCAAGTCCATTGGCTCAGATGCCTTCTCTCAGATGGATGCTGCTAATTTATATTTTACTCTGGCCTGGAAATTGTTCTGTCTTCTTACCGATTCATTGTATGTTGATTTTAGAATTTAAATTCTTAAGGGTACTCACATTTCAAGGTAGAGGATTTAAAAAAAAATTTTGTCCCTGTGTATTACCCATAAAAATTTGATGGTATTGGCTGAGTAAATGGCACATGGTGAAGTAGAGGATGATGCTACAAGTAGTTTAGCTGATAAGAAAAAAAATAGGCCAAAGCTAGGGAAAGGATACAGAGTTTAAGAGAAAAAGTTCCACATATTTATATAATGACTATGAGGAGCCAGAAGAAAAGAGAGAAATTGAAGATATGAGAGGTGTTAATAATAGAGCACAGTCCTATTAGAAGAGGGAAGGAGATGAGATTGAAAACACAGTTAAAGTGATTCATCTTCAGTGGAGGGTAGGCTACAGAGCAGACTCCTCATCCTCTGATACAAAAGAGAAGGAGGAACAGATCAATGTAGATTTGAGAAAGCCTATTGGTGAGGAGGCAGAGAGTTGAGTTTATGCCTTCTTATGTCAATCATCTGATAAAGTAGGAGGCAATCATATCTGCCAACAATGGAGAGCAAGGGTGGACAGTTGGACCCCGGAGAGAGAAGACGATTAGAGAGTGGAGTGGAATGGATGAGGAATGGATGAGGGAGTTGACAATGAAGTTGAAGGACTGGCCAGTACAAAGTTATAGCTGAAGTTGAGGACCATGAATTTATACTGGGCCCCATCTGCATGGTGGTATGGCATTACCCTGGTGTAGTGTTTTTAGTAGCTGTGACAGCAAAATATTTGTGACAGCAGAGATTTGTACAGGGCTATATTTTTACAAAGAATATATGGGTTAAAAGTTCCTAATAAAAATGGGTACAGATTGAGTAGGGAGGGAAGTGATGCCTTCAGGGTATTTAAAGACTTGGTGAGCATGGAGATGTCCAGAGACTGGAGATCTCTTTGAAGTTAGGGATCAGAAAATCAGAGTCTGAGAGAGCTGGAAGGATATGGGTTTGAGGTCAGAAAGTAGGATATTGAAATTTCACATGAAAAAATGTTCATCATCACTAGCCATCAGGGAGATTCAAATTAAAACCACATTGAGATACCACCTTACACCAGTTAGAATGGCCAATATTAGCAAGACAGGACACAACATGTGTTGGAGAGGCTGTGGAGAAAGGGGAACACTCTTACACTGTTGGTGGGAATGCAAGTTGGTGCAGCCACTTTGGAAAACAGTGTGGAGATTCTCAAGAAATTAAAAATAGAGCTTCCCTATGAACCTGCAATTGCACTACTGGGTATTTACCCCAAAGATACAGATGTAGTGAAAAGAAGGGCCATCTGTATCCCAATGTTTATGGCAGCAATGGCCACGGTCGCCAAACTGTGGAAAGAACCAAGATGCCCTTCAACGGACGAATGGATAAGGAAGATGTGGTCCATATACTCTATGGAGTATTATGCCTCCATCAGAAAGGATGAATACCCAACTTTTGTAGCAACATGGACGGGACTGGAAGAGATTATGCTGAGTGAAATAAGTCAAGCAGAGAGAGTCAATTATCATATGGTTTCACTTATTTGTGGAGCCTAACAAATAGCATGGAGGACAAGGGGAGATGGAGAGGAGAAGGGAGTTGAGGGAAATTGGAAGGGGGTGCGGTACAAAAACAATGAATACTGTTATGCTGAAAAGAAATAAAAAATTAAAAAAAAAGAAATCTGAGATTTCTGATATGTAGCACTTTGTTATCATCTGTCCATTATTTCATTCATCCAACAAATGTTTTTGAGTACTTATGATCCATTCAGCAAATATTTATTTTACATTGTATGCCTGGTATTATGTTGAGTACAGGGGATAAAAACAAACAAACAAACAAAAATTCTTTATTTATTCAACAAATAGTGATGGATTGCCTTCTTTTTTGTCCCTGCCTTCAAGATAAATCTAGTTTGTGGAAACATAGACAAGTAAGAAGGTAATTATGGGTTACTGTCATAGATACTTTAACTGCAAGAATTCCAGGGGAATTTAGCAGAGGAGTACCTAACCAAATACTGGTTGATATGTAAGGAAACTTCCAGAAAAGGAATCAGGTTGAATACTGATAGGCAGGAGTAGCCAGAGAAAGAGGAAGACAGAGGGTGAAAAGGACTTTATAGGAAGAGAAAACAACATGTACAAAATTCCTAAAGCTAGAATGATCATAGAGTTCTTGTGGTCCTATAGGTTATTCAGTGTCATAGAGGCACAGATGAAATGGCAAGGGGAAGTGGGGTCTGTTGGGAGAAGAGGGTAAGAAGTGAGACCAGAGAGGAAGTCTAAGGATTTTTTTTTTTTAAGATTTTATTTATTTATTTGACAGACAGAGATCACAAGTAGGCAGAGTGAAAGAGAGGAGGAAGCAGGCTCCTCGCCTAGCAGAGCCCGACGCGGGACTTGATCCCAGGACCTTGAGACCATGACCTGAGCCAAAGGCAGAGAGAGGCTTTAACCCACTGAGCCACCCAGGTGCCCCAAGTCTAAGGATTTTGAGCAGACAGATGCTATTAATGTTCAGGATTGGGAAGTCTGTCCTGGCAGCGTTAGAGAAGAGCCTTATTTTAAATTGCGCTTCCAGCTTTTGAATGGAGGAGTTTGATGATGGTGTTGGATGGTCTCAGCTGACAAGGCCAAGTGGTGCTTGATCTTTGTTGGAAGACTTTGGGGTGTGTTCAGATCCCTTTTCTCAACAGATGCTTCTGTGGCCACATGCTACGGTCTAGTGCTTGGCGGATACTAATACTTCAGTCCTATTTCTATGTCAAATAAAACTTATCTTTCTTTTTTAGAACTGTCTCAGGAGTAATATTGTGGCATCTTAGAGCCTGGAGAGAATAAAGCCTTTGGGATTTCCCTTTTTGTTTTATTAAGACTCAGTCTGGTCCTTATACTGTTGTAATATGCTCATTCCTGTTCGGCCTCTATCTTCCTACCACTGACACTGGGGACACCCTGGAGATATGAGAAGACTGAAGTTTTTTACATTTTTTCCCTTGTGTGTCTTTTTCTTTTATTTCTTAAATGAAACTATTTTAAGAAAAATTTTAAGTATAATGTCCTCTTAGGATAGACTCATGAGATGTATTTAGAGGTTCTGTTTTTTATTAGGGGTCCTCCACAAGGATTGTCACCAACTAGGAATATGTTGAATATTTATTTAGAAGTCCTGAAACCTTCTATAGCCACCTCTGCTCCTCAGTGGCATTTTTTATCCAAGTGTTAAGGCTTAATGATCAGTCCTTAGGGTGCTCTCGTAAACAATGATGTTATGGCTCAAATAATTGCCAAACTTTCTTTCTTTAAAGAAAACAAATAAATTTCTTTCCCCTGGCAATCATTTTCAACTGGGGTATATTACAGAATGTTTTACATTATCATGATCTTGTAATAAAATTATCCCCAAATCAGTAACTGATGCATCACCTGATACCATAAAAAGGTTTGAAAAGCCCGAGTCTTTTCAGAGCTCTTAAATAATTCATACCCTGTTTTAGTTTCTCAAAAGTTTCTTGACTTTGTGGAGCTGTATAATCTCATCAGGTGTCTATTTTATTCCTAATCAGTTAAAAGTGGACCAACTTGTTGCCAGGACTGAGGTACAAACCTTTGATAATAGCTTGTTAGCTTTCTAAATGAAATGACTGGTCTTTTTTTTTTTTTTTAATGGTGATTTTACCCTCCATTTTCCTGTCTTGGTATTGGACTTCTGGAAGCCCATGTTGGCTTTTTACACAATATACCACCGATTTACTTTAATGGATTGCATCTGGAACTAGTCTCAGATGTCCCTAATCTACTTTTGGTCAAATAGAGCATTGGTCCTGTGGCTTATCGTCATCACTTCAGAGTCTCCCAGACAGACATTCAGTCTCTGTGCAGATGGGATTTCTTATTGGGAAGAGGCAGGAATATTTGTCAGTCTAATGTAAGTGTTACAAGGGCAGGGTTGTATATTGTTTTCTGTCCAGCACCTATCTCCTCTTCCAAATATCGCCTTTTGAGGAATTCCTCTTTCCCTTTTAGATGTAGTCGGGTGGGACTTTTCAGGAGCTTTCTTCTCTAGCCAGTCAGAAGACTAGTCATGTGAGCAAGGCCAATCGGGACCTCCCTTCTTGGAATCAGATCTTGAGTAGAGGGGTAAAAAGACTAAAGCTAGTGGATGTTCATTCTTTCCAATGCTTGTGTACTGATCAGACTATTATGACTATTCATATGTAGGAGGGTCTATTTTGTAGACCCTCCTACATCTTTGGACCTGTTGTGGTCCTGGCCTGTTTTTCCTATTACTCCTGGTTCAAAGAACCCCAACCCCAATGCATCAAGTTTTCTCCTAGTTTTATTTGTTGGAACCTAAACAAATTGATATTTGAGGTGACTTTAGCAGTTCCAAAATCTAGTCATATTGCTTCAACTCTAAGCAGAGGCGCATTATGAATTAGCAGATTGTTTTTTTAATAGAACCTAATTTTATGGTTGTATTTTGGAACCAGAACTAATGAAGAAGCCCAGACCACTCAAAGTTCTGATAACTCCTGGCTTT